CCCCTCCTCCCCTGGTTTCTGCCGACAGGACGGGTTGGACGATGGCCCAGAACAAGCTGTTCAACAAGATTCACAAAGCGCTGCAGTCCGACCGCCTGGCTCGCTTGGCCAACGAAGGGGTAAGGGCTTGTCCTCCCTGTTGCCCTTTCCAGCTGCTGCCTCGTGGGTTTGTCTCAATCTCTTCCGAACAAAGCCCGATTTGAGTCAAGTTGAAAGTTTTCCCCTTGGGGCTACGTGGTCACCAGGCAGCTCTGGGCTGCTGGGAGCCGCGGTTTTGTCCTCGCTGGGAGGCGGTTGGCCTTCGCCTGCTGCCCGAGGACCTTGGGCTGCCCAAGCCAATGCTTTCCAGCGGGTTAGGAGGCACGTGGCATGCTCGATTTCCATGTTTTTTTCGTTTTTTTACCCCATAACTGTGTTTCTTTTTTTGAACTTCCTGGTTTTTAGGCTTGCAACGAGCCAGTCCTGAGGAGGATAGCGGTGGACAAGTGCGCTCGGAGGGTCCGCCAAGCTCTGGCCAGCGTGAACTGGGACACCAAACTGATCCAGTGGCTTCACACGACGTTAGTGGAAACCCTGAGTTTGCCCGTGCTGGCTGCTTACCTGGATGCTCTGCAAACGCTGAAAGGGAAGGTGAGAAAAGCCGGGAAGGCCTTTGCTGTCGCTTATAACGTTCTCCCTTCGTAAAGCTCGTTAAAGGCAGCCGATGGGGCTTTTATCCTCTTCCTGTGGAGTGGCTGTGTGCGTTCTCTCAGGCTTTTCCTCTGGTTTCAGATCCCCACCCTGATCGACAGGATGCTGCTCTCCTCCACCGCGAAGACGGGGGCAGCAGGTGCCGAGGCTCTGTCTCTGCTGCTGAAGAGACCTTGGGACCCAGCAGTGGGCGTCCTGTCCCACAACAAACCAGTGAGTACCTCCTGGGGCTGGTCTCACGTCGCCTTTAGTCTTCCCATCCTTCTGCTATCCTCTTCCTTCTGCCTCTGTCTTGCTGCCTGGGCTCTTTTCCTCCTGCTTTAGGCTTGCTCAGTGAGAGGGAACCCCTTCTGTTGGGGCACATTCCTATCCTGAGGTGGCTTTGGGTGGGGAAAATGCGATCAATTCATGAGCTATGCTGCTTTTTGTGCAGGCCAGGCTGGGCAGCGAGGTCTCGGGCGGGGAAGCGGCTTTCCCTCACACGGCTCTTTATTGAATTTTATAGAGCAAATTGCCTGGTTCCCCCCTCATCCTGATCGCTTCCTCCGGACCCTCCAACTCCATGTTCCCCACTTCCCGCCGGCACCGGTTCTGGCAGTCGCAGCTTTCCTGCTTGGGAAAGGTTTGTATGGTTGGCTTGGAAAGGAGGGAAGTTCAACCTAGCAGCTGCCCTAAGCTGCAGCCGCTGAGCTTGTCTTTTATAAGGCTTCGGTGCACCAAAATCGTGGCTTCTGCTGGAAGCAGAGGCTGGCACCTGCCACCTGCAGCGTTTACCGTTTGAGACCCTGCACAGGGGATGAAAGTGCCCAAATCTGATGCGTTTGGGGTCTCTTGGTGACCGAAGTCATCCCCCTTGAGCAGTTTAGACTGCGTCATTACTGTTATTAAGGTCGGAAGAGTTGGAGGAGAGAGACTATAGGTTACCTTAGTGCTCTGCCTGGCTACAGAGCTGCTCACACACCTGATTAATGTGGGTGTCCAGGAGGGAGGTGAGTAGCAGAGGTTGTATCCGTGGGGAAGTCTCTGTTTCCTCTGGTTTTAGTAGCTAGAAGTGAATCCCAGGGGGAAGGCAGGAGAGAGAAAGCACGAGCTGGTGCCTAAACTGGGTTCCAGTCCGTGCTGACTGTTTTCGGTCCCTTTTGTCCCCAGTAACACCTTGGTTACTGATCCATCTCC